GTCAGTTTATTTTAACAATGCATGCAAAAACTAAACTACAAAGGAAGAAGTGGCTGGGTTTTCTTTTTATTTACTTTTCTCTCTTTGAGATATTTTTTTTGGGGAAAATTAGAAAAGCACAAAATATAATATATAAATGCCAATGTACAGGCCACCAAAAAAGTAAGTGTTAACACTTTTCCGTATTTGCTTCAGAATTTTTTTTTTTTTTTTTTAGGAAAAATGAAGCATTTCAGATAAAGTGTTAATTCCCTTTGTTTTTCCTCCATTCTCTTCTTCCCCAAGTCTGTAATGTGAGGAAGTTGTCAGGAATCCTTCCAGTGTGCCTTTTCAGAATTTTACAAAATATGATAGAAGGACAATCTGCAGTATTATAAGATAGAATGTTAAGAGTGTTATTTTGTATATTTTGAAAAGTTAACAAGTGGTACCATACGCAACAATCTGCAACCTGATTTTCTCAGTCAATATATATTTTTGATATTTCTCTATATGAACTGGATCTTAATACAAACAGATCTAGTTCAGCCATTTTAGGTGCTTTATACTATTTTGTTGAATAAATAATTCTTCTGACGATTCTCATTATTTACTACTATGAACAATGCTACAGAGATGCCCTTTTACTTGTCTCCTCAGGCACATATATCGGAGTTTCATTGGAGTAGCTTCCTTGATGGGAAATTGTTGAGTCATAGGATATGCATGGCCAACTTTATTTCAGTATCATCAAAATGTTCTCCAGTGTGACTGTGCCACTTTCTACTCTCTTTTTGCAATGCTGGAACTAGCTTTCTAAAACAAATATGCCAGCCCAGCTGCCGTGGCTCAGCAGTTGAACATCTACGTATGATCCAGGAGATCAAGGTTTGATTCCATCAGGGCACGTGCCCAGGTTGCAAGCTCGATCCCCAGTCGGGGGTGTGCAGGAGGCAGCCAGTCAATGACTCTCATCATTGATGTTTTTGTCTCTCTTTTTCTCCCTTCCTCTCTCTGAGATCAATAAAGATATATATTTTTAAAATATAATAATAATAAATAAAACAAATATGCCAAGTATACTTTCTACAGTTTTGAGGGGTTTCCACTGCAGAATTTAACTCCTTTCCCACCGAGGGACCTGCGTGTTTCTTTACATGCATTTCCCTTACCTCCAGAGGATCCATTGTTCAGCTTCCTTAGAACAGAGATCACACCTTAAAAGGTTGGTTGTTTATGTTCATTCAGGATAAAACCCACAGTTTTCAGAAAACCTGTGTTTTGAAACATTCAAATGTTCTTTCAGAACAAATCTTTCCCTAATCTAAATTTAACTCTCTCTTGCCTTCATTCTCACTAGTGTTTGAATTAATGAAATGTCTCACCTTTTCAACATATTCTTAGGTCGTGAGGGGACTGTCTAAACACTTTGTGCATGACTTTCAATATTTTTCTGCTTATTTTAAGTCTTTAGAAAGGTAATGAAAACAAAATAACTCTTGGTCTTGGTCTTACTTTGTCTCCTTAAATTCCTTAATTTTTTTTTAGACCTATTAGGTATCTAACTTAAAAGTTCCCTTTAGCGTCACATGAATGTAGATGTTGATGCAACCTCCAAGAACAACTTCCAGAACTTGAAATTCTTGCTGCTACCCTAGCCTGAAACCTGTTGGAACATTCCCACATGTAGTTCCTTCCCACCTGGTAGGTAGAACATCAGCCCCTTCTTGATACAGTCGATGGATACAGGCACAGTGTCCTTGTATAGTTTAGCTACATGCAGAACTTTACCCCCTTACTTATTTTTTTAACTGAGCTCTTAAATGGAAACAAAGTTGAGCTTGTGCTGGAGAGTAATGATAGGGCCCAAATTCGTACCTGGAGTATTTTTTGAGAAGTCCTCCTTAATTCCTATTTAGCACTCACATTTGGGTGTTTTCCCAATTTTATTCTCCTTTAACTAGAGGAACGAACAGAAACAGGCATCCGTGCTTTCTGGTCTGTTGTTTCTCTTTTAAGAAACACCAAGTTTAGAACAGCTGGTGTGGCTCAGTGGTTGAGCATTGACCTAGGATCCAGGAGATCGAGGTTCGATTCCCGGTCAGGGCACATGCCCGGGTTGCGGGCTCGATCTCCAGCAGGGGGCGTGCAGGAGGCAGCCGATCAATGACTCTCATCATTGATGTTTCTCTTTCTGCCTCTCCCTTCCTCTCTCTGAAATCAAAAAAGGTATATTTTTTAAAAAGAAAGAAAAAGAACACTGAGTTTAAATGTTAACCCTTAACAGAAAAGGTCCGGGATTATCTTGAGCCAAATGCAGAGACACACATGTTTGGCCTCCCTGAGTAACTGATAGGAGGTGCTGGCCATCTGAGCATGATGCTCCACACATGCTGTCAATGTATGTTGTTATGACTTGACATTTTATGACATTTATGAAGCTTTTTATTTGGGGGAGAGTTGGGTGAAATGGACGCAATCAGATTTGTGTTTTGAAAGATCACTCTGGCTACATTTGGAGAATATGTTGGAGGAGGCCTGGAGGAGCTGTAAGAAGATCAGTTAGGAGACTGTTGCAATACTTGTGAGAAAGGAAGCTGATTTGGGCTGGGAAGCTAACTGGAGGAGAGATGGATGCATGTGAAAAGTTTAGGAGGCAAGTTCAACTGGATTTGGTGATAGCTTGGCTCTGGCGTCTGAGGGAAAGAAGATCGATCGGTCACGGTCGAATGAGTTTCCTCATCTCGGATTGGGTGCATGGTTATGGGCTCTAATTAGGTGCATGAGATTTTCATCACAGCTTCCTGTGAAACAGCTTGATATCAGTATTAGCTGAAGCCAGGGAGGCTCAGCCTCATGCTGTGTTCTACCTTGTGCGATATTTGGAAAACGCCTGACAAGTGGCCACCTACTTTTCTTCCAGGCAAGTAGCAGTTTCATTAGGCAGATGAAAAATGTAGGATTCCTGTAGTCACAATATACTTAGTTTAAGGAAATTATTGCTGAAACAAGAGTGTAGGAGGAAACATTTTTATACTGTACTTATTTGCAAGACTGACTGGCTACTGTCTACGGTTCAGATGAGCTAACACTGAAGGTAGCACCCACTATGTATAAATGTTAGAGAGTTTTCCTTGCTGCTGGGGACATTGACTAGAAGCACAAAGGAGAATTGTACTTCTCAGAATGTTTCATAATTATTTTCACCAGCAGTCCTCATGGAAGGTTTGTTTGTTTCTGGGGAAAGGACAGGGCAGAGGGCTGGGCCATCAACATTTTTGGCTCCATTATAGATAAACAGCGGAGTTTAAGGAACTGATAGGCTTGTTCAGTGCTGCATGGGCTGTCAACAGCAGGCTTGGGGTTGAGACCTTCAATCTTTGAACCAGCTTCTTAAAACAGAAACAGAACAACAATAAAATAACTACAGTGTCATGTAACCTAAATACCAAGTCTGTCATTGGATTGCACATGCAATGGATGTATACAGCGCACGAAGTGTTTCCATTCTCTGCCATCATCCCCAAACTGGGAACTTCAAGAAGCCATTAATGTGAGATATAATGTAACCTAGGAACTTCTTCTCAGGCTACAATGATTATCAGCTGTGATCACGGTGCATGCTGTGCTTCCTAAATTCTCAAACAATTGTTTTTATTAGTTGATATCTATCTTTTATTTGTGGGGGTTAGTGGAAAGGTTGGGATGGAGACAAATGAGTTCAAGAAAAGCCAAAAAAACCCCAGCTGTTTTAAACTGGTGATTAAAAAAACGACTGTCCTCACTAAGCCCTTTGCCCTCTAGAATAGAAATACTGAGCTAAATTAATGTGATGACCATACTAATTTTAGGACCTAAATGTAACCAGTGGGGCTCTCTGTAACACTTATTCTCTGTAACTAGAAAGAAGTGGAAAGGCTGATTTGCAAGGGTAAGAGACTTGATTTCTCAGGATGCTCTGGGGATGCTCTGTTGGATCCCACTGTTGATTTTATTTGAACAGGTCCAATTTCACAATGGTCCTGAGAATTGTACCACTTGCTTCCGGGATGCCCCTTGGATGGGGAATGACCTAGAATTGCTGTCCATATGTGACTCCTGATCTCCCATGCCTTTAGAGACCACCTCCCATCCTCCCAAGTGCCCAGGCCTGACCTGGTTTCTGGGAGTGGGAGCTGATTGCCTCTGCTGTTGGCACTGATTCCACCTGTGCCCAGCTGGCCAGTTGTTTTGCATATGCATTTTTGTCCCATGCTTATTGCCTGGCTTGGAGCAGATTTCATATCCTTGAATGCAATCTTGAAAGAAAATCTGTTGGAGATGACCCAAGGCAATAGTTATTAGACCAACCTTAATTAAGACATTTGAATCCATAGAAAACAGTATTTTTTTTCTTTCCCTTTTCGAGGGTCTCTGTTTTTTGATGACTCCTCTCCTAATAGTTTCAGGTCCGGACAGCTGAAGTCCTACATCTTCTGCGAGGTGAGAGTCCATTTATTTCATCCCAATCAGAGCCTATTTGACCAATTCTGTACAGCTCCATAACTCTCCCGCTGCCTTCTGCTAGGTGTCACCCAGCTTGTTGAGCAGACGGTACTGCCTCTGAATGCCTTCGAACAGTTATGTGTTGGAGACTGGGGGCCTTTAATGTGGATGTTCCAGCCATGTCAGTATAGCCTCTCCCTTCAGCTTGCTTTGTTTATCTAGCAGCTCATTACTTAAGAGTAGCCTGTCAAAATAGGTTAAATATTCTTTGGGAAACATGGTCACTCACATCCTTGAGATACCACAAATATGTTTAAAACAGGGAAGATTGGCCTGATAAGAAAAGTGTGATTGACTTGCATCACCAAAAAATATTTTCCTGTTATTCTGGTTCAGTTTCCACAAGCATCGATATGCACTAGAAAAGCTAAGGACAATAAATTTCTGCAGCCGACACATAAAGACACCAAGGGAAGCAGGGAAAATGATTGCTGATGATTCATTCTAACTACTTGACCTTCTGACCTCTTCTCTAGATATATGACCAAGATGGGACACTACAGCACTTTATTGATGGTGGGGAACCTAGTAAGTCAAGCTGGATGAGGTATATCCGATGTGCAAGGCACTGCGGAGAACAGAATCTAACAGTAGTTCAGTACAGGTAAAGTATATCTCGATTTACCACTTACGTAGCTGAAGCCCTCGGGCTTGCGTATACAAATGCAGGCTTGCTGCTAGTTTTGAAACAATTCTGCAGGAGTTTTTGCAGGAACTCTGCAAGGACTGGCAGAAAATTTTTTTGCTAGGTTTCTGAAATCTCCTTAGTTCTTGCAATAGTCATTGCACGAGAATTCAGGAATAAAAATCCTAGTAGAACGCCTCTTTCACTCAGTGCACAAGGTAAAGCTATTTCCCTGTCCTCGCCTGAACTTCCACATCGGCTGAATGAGCCCAGCACAANCTTTCACTCAGTGCACAAAGTAAAGCTATTTCCCTGTCCTCGCCTGAACTTCCACATTGGCTGAATGAGCCCAGGTCACCCACTGATGGGCAGAGTCCCCCAGCAGAGGTGTGCACACACACAAACAGAAGTGCAAAGATTCAGCCCCAGATCGATTGCTTTCAGTCACCTTCAGGCCTTCCCCCAGGAGGAACAGTTTCATTTGCTCAAAGGCCTGGGAAACCAAGGACTCTCAGCCTTACCAAGGCTGCTTTTCCGAAATCATTATGCTCAGCAGCAGTATCTGAGCCAGAGTTACCTCTTCTGATCCCTGGAAAGGTGCCAAAACATTGGGCTTTGGTCGTTGGATGATTCAGAATATGTTTTCAGGAGATGAGGTCGTTCCAGAGCATAGGGAAGCCCTGGGTATCCAAGATATTTGCGAAAAGCCCAAAGACAAGGTGGAGCCATCCCCATTTCTCAGAGCCTCATAGGGAGGCCTCGGGGTGGGGGGCGTTGAGAAGCAGATGCTGAGCCACATCTGCTCAGTGCACCTGTTGGGCAAGCTTTACCATTTAGTGCTAAAGAAGGCTGGAGTGGAGACGAGAGGGCAGAAACAGATCACATAGGAAAAAAGCCCCACCACTAAGCCTTTTCTCAAAAATCCCTCGAAAACATGTGCCATATAAATATATGACCTCAGTTATAAACAGCCATGCTCCCTTTAGAATCAGAAGCAACTGTTTAACTTTATTAGGCACCATTGACACATCAAAGCAGGCGGCCCTGAGCTCGGCAACTTGGAGTCATGCCTGTGGCTATTTATTTTCCTTTCCTTTTTTTTTTGTTTTTTAAAAATGAGGCCTTTAAAAAAAAAAGAGCTTTATTCCCCTTATAGGCTAAAGGCTGCACAAATCTGGCTTGCTCTCGGAAGGTCTCCAACTCAAAAGGAATGTATGTGGGCATCATGTGACTTTTCACTGCCTTGGTTTCCTATGCAGCTAATTTCATGAAATAACGGTCGCATGAAACAGCACATGGCAGCGTTCGGTTACACTGCTGTGGACGGGCCTCACTCACCTTTATTGCAGCTGCATTTCTGTCACGAAGGTTTTATGAAACTCGCAGCTAGAGAATTAGTAAAGGCTGTGCTTGTCCATTCAGCAAGAGATAGTTTGGTCCTGTGATGAGCACCCAGGGAGCTCTCGAGGCAAAGTCTGAACCTGGGCAAACAAGAAAACCCCTGAGAGGAAGGTGGGCATGAGTAAGTCATTACCTATCTGTCAATATTAAGTGGATTTTATAGCTCCCCTTTCATGAGGGAGCTTAAGCTTCGAGTTCTCTCTGCCAATCTGTTTTTGATTACTTCAGATCTTTATAAAATGAGCTACAAAAACACAATTAAAAAAAAACAAAACACTGGCATCCATCACTAGTGACCATGTCCAAGAGTAAGAAAATAGAAAAGTTGGACCCTGAAGAGCCAGCCTAATTTTTATTGTACATGAATGTCCTCTTCACAGAAAGTCAGCTGGTTTAGATTCGTTCTGTTATGATTTGTAATATCTAAATGGAATTTTCTTCAAAGCACCCTTGATTGATTGACCCTGAGCTGAACGTTTTGTTTTTATTTTGAGGCTGACAATAATGTTTGTTGGCATGTGTTCTGCTTCAACTGTGTTGGGACGCCATGAAGCTATCTTTATGAGTCATCCAACCACAATACTAAATACATGTCAGCAAAGGAAATATTATCTGAAAAGGGAAAAATCCCTTTGATGTGCTTCAACATGCAGAGATTGCTGCGAGTTTTGGAAGCTCTGCCTGCTTGTAAGGAACGGTGTACGCTTACACTTTCCCCCCCTCTCGGCCTACTCCGTGCCTCAGAAGACCACCCATTGCTCGAAAACAGTTCTGCTCTTTCAGCGGCAAAGTGTGTCATTTGGTTTTAGCACATTCATTTGCCGGGCGCTGTGTTTATATTAAGGGAAGCCAAACCGAGAGATGAAATGTTACAAGGGTGAAGTACAAAGTAGACTCAATTTTTCTCAAGTTAGGAGATGCCAGTGATTTATAGCTCGGCTCCAATTTTGATTTTTTTTTATGTAGCAGTGGAAAGAATTAATAAAATGCACGGCGCTTGGGGATGCAGAGGGAGGAAGGGTAGTGAGGTCCGGACAACTAACTGGCTGGAGTTTTTGTCAGATATTCATAGAATGTTGGGAAAAAACATTCTGCTTAGCTAGCAGTGCCCTCGTGAGACAGAATGGCAGCAAGTAAGGAAAATAACAAGATAAATGAAATTTTTGCAGCTGCAAGTAAAATATTGAGAATCTGCACTTTTTTATTGATCTTTATGATCCTATTGCCAAGAGCCACTTTGTGGTGACAAAATATGTTGACAAGTGCATATCTCACTGCCATGAAAAATGTGGTGAAGGATTCGCCTTCTGTCTGCAGTGTTGTACAAGGAACAAATTGCCCTGCTACAGCCAATTCCTCACAGAAAGGCTAAATTTAAGGCCCACCGACCCTAAACATTTTTATCTTGAACTGGAGGCTAATATTTGCAGCAATTCTTCATTGAGAAAACCAGTTGTGGTCTCATTTTTTTTTTTATCTGTAGATTTTTCTTTACAGTACCAAAGCTGTTAAAAAAAAAAAAAAGTTTATTTCTTGGTACCGTCACTCTATCATTTCAGAGTGTAATCTTTCCGCCAGAGTCAAGTGCTCCTCTTGTATTTATTGAATTGCCATCCATTTCACAGAAGAGGGTTTTTCTCTTCTCCTATATCTAACTTTAGAAGGAAGGCAATGGGGGAGATTTTTGTTTCTCTTTATCCTTATATCACAGAGCTGTTTAATTTTATTACAAATTTGAGAACTCCCAATGCCAAGCTGCAAGAATACATGTAATGCTTTTCCTTCAAAAAAGAAATCAATAGTATTAATTTATATACAAGGTTGAGGCACCAGTGTCTGTAGTTTGCCAAGAGAGAGAATTTTCTCATCAGTGTGAGATGGAATTTCTTTTTAAAAATGAACTCTTCCTTTCTGCCATCTCCTGGGCTAAATATCTGTCTCTTCAGTCAAGACTTTGTAGGAAGGGGAACTATGGAAATTAACTGTGAGCTGTTTTTTCATACTGGGTTACAGGCTCTCATTGGTTGCTGAGAACAATAAGGTGGGTGCCTATTTTATTACAAACAGAAACTGTTTAGGTGGAGATGGGCAGAACTTTTTGGGGGCAATAAAAAAATGGGGTTGGGGGCACACGAGTCCTACATATTACTAAGCTGGGTTTTCTTTTGTTTTGAATAGGTCGAATATATTCTACCGAGCCTGTATAGATATTCCCAGGGGCACCGAGCTTCTGGTGTGGTACAATGACAGCTATACGTCTTTCTTTGGGATCCCCTTACAATGCATTGCCCAGGATGAAAACTGTAAGAATTTATTTTAGCTCTGAATTTACATCTCAAAATCCCTATTTTAAAGCTGACTATTTAAGAGTGTTGTTTAAAACTCTGGCCACGTGGTTCACTCTGATATATAATGCAAATGTGCACAAGTCTGTTCTATCATTTTCTTTACCCTGTATGTCTGCTGCTTTCTCATGGGGCATCTTGGTGTGTACAGGCCAATACTTCTTTGCCTGTTTACAACATCACAATGTTTGTCAGTTTTACATAATCACCCGCAGCAGTGTTAAGGCAGCTGGTATTTATTGAGAGCCTACTGTGTGTCCGGTGCTGTGCTTGCCACCTTCCAGGGTTACAAGAGCAGCGAAAGGTACAACTTCTGCTCTGAAGGGATGCGCAGTCCTGCTCCAGCCACTCTCCCCGCAAAAATGAAATGATGAGAGCACAGTGCCCTTCATCAGGAGTAACCCCCTCCAGTCGATGGGTGTGCTGCCTCCCGAGTAGTCACTGCAGTGAGAAATGGTAGCAAAAATCGTAGACATAGGACTGAGGAACTTGTGTCTCTCTAAATTTCTTAGCCTGACTAAACCATGTCATTTTCTGCCTTTCTTGCCATGGCAGCCATTATCTTCTAAAAAGTAATCTAACATCTAAGCAAATGCAGACTTGCAGCAATTTTCATGTAAACTTTATATTTTTGTTTTATCCATTCTTTGGAAAATATTTTAAGGTGATCTCCAGTATTTGGAACAGAATTGGATAATTCTGATGTGATTCAGTGAGCAACACTGGTTTCAATGATGCTATTTTTTCTGGTCACAAAACTGACTAACCTGTGAGTTGATAATCTGGGATTATGCAACAGAAAATGAAGTCCAGAGAACAGATCTATTTAAGAAACTTGATTTTGAAGAAAAGTTTTATGTTACTTTATTCTTCTCCACTTAACTTTCTCTTTTGCACAAACTCCAAAAAAAAAAAAAATGTTCATATTACTACTGAACAAAATACTGATGAGCAGGTGTTTCTTTTGCATGTTGCCTTTATTTTCTTTGTGAAAAATAGAATCCTCAAAAGGCGTATTACTATCAACTTTCCTTTTCTGCTTTAACCCAAAACCAATCTCAAATCAAAACACGAATCTTTGGACATATAATACACTCCTCTGACTTCCCAGGTTTCCACTGGGAAGTTTCTTTCCTGCAGTGATACCCCTATTTGAGGGAGTGTCTGTTTGCACAGGAGAAAATCTCAGTGTTGGACATGAGTGTGCAGCTGGTGTTAGAGGCAGATATGGACATGGGGGCCAGTATGCTCCTCTTCCCAGAGCGGCTCCACGTGCGAGCTTCCCTAACACTGGCTTTAGGTTCATGGGCAGAAAAGCACCAGCATCAGTCCCCCACTCCCACCCCGGTCTGCTCACATGGGCCCGTCTGTACATAGAACCTTGAAATAACCTCACCTTCTGAAGTATGGAATTTTATTCCAGAGGATTCCAGAAATCCTTTACTAATACCTGCCACAAACTCTAAAGATGTTCTGGTGTGTGTGTCGAGGATTATCTGGGAATAAGCATAGCAAAGCCTAGAGTCTAAAGTACATAGCACATAGTCCAACCAGCCATTTGTTCACTCATTCACTCATTGCCCAGATATTTATTGAACACCTACGGTAGGCTGTGTCTTTGCTGGGTGCTGCAAATAGAGCAGTGAACAAACCAGACAAGAATTCCTGCCTTCATGGAGCTTACATTCCTGTTGAGGGAGACAGATTATCAACACATAAGTGAATAGTTTGTCAGGTGGTGATAAGTGTTGTAGAGATAACAAAAGAGAGAAGGGGTAAGGCATGCCAGGAGTTGGGAATCAGTTTTAGAGAGTGATCCGNTGAATAGTTTGTCAGGTGGTGATAAGTGTTGTAGAGATAACAAAAGAGAGGCATGCCAGGAGTTGGGAATCAGTTTTAGAGAGTGATCCGGGTAGGTCCTACTGGAAATGTGACCTTTGGGGTAAGATGTAAGGAGGTGAAAGAACAAGCCATGTGTTATTTGGGAGAAGGGCATTCCAGGCAGGCTATCTAGATGTGCAAAGACCCCGAGATAGAAATGCTCCTGGTTTATTGGAAGAGCAACACAGAATTTGGCAGAGGTGTTTGGGAATGAGAGAGATGGAGAGAAGTTAACTTAGATATTGGGGGGTGGATCTCATGGGGTTCAGGAGGCCACTATCAGGACCCAGTGTTTTACTCTGTGTGGGCCGAGTGAAAAGGGGCTATTGCAGAGTTTTGAGTAGAAGAGTGGTATGAGCTGACTGAAGTTGTAACAGGGTGACTCTGGCTACCAAGTGGAAACAGTAAGGGGTGAGGGTGGGGCAGGAATCCATGGGAGAGGTGGTGGTAGTGTGGACCAGTGTAGACGCGGTGGAGGTGGTAAGAAGTGGTTGATTCTAGATATATTTTGAAAGTAAAGCCAACAGCACTTGCTGACACATTGGATGCTGAGTAAGAGAGAAAGGAGTGAGAGATAACTCCAAGGCTTTGGTCTGAACACCTGGAAGGATGGAATGGCCGTTTACTGAGTTATGAGTCAGAAAGGGAAACTGCCGTGGAGTGACGACTTAGGGAATGCATTTCTTACCATTGACATGGATCTGTGGGGTGGAAGTCACACATCTACAACACTGCTTCTGCTTTGTGGCATTGTGATGTGATGAGAGGGGTTTAGGGGTTGGGCTGGAGGATTCCTGTGTGCTGTTTACAGCCACCTGAAAGTGGGTGTCTAAGAATGTCCCATCTGGTCTTTGGATTCAGTGCCATAGTGCCATAAAAAAATTTACTTTCTGGAAACACCATATGCTTTGCTGTTCAGTCCTTCCTTCTCCTAGAGTCCGACTCGTGTGAAGTGTTGCTGATTAGAGTATTGAAAAAACTCTCCCAGGGCATATGTTATATCATTTAGCACCTGAAATCCTTTGAAGAAAATTCACAAAGCCACAGCAGCTCGAAGTATTGTGGATTCAGTAGATAAACTGAGCAGCTTTTTTGGGTCAAGTTCAGAGCTCTAACTGAGGGTGGAGGGAAGTTTAAAAGGAATTAAGTCACTGACTAAAATGCTCAACAGTGACAATCCCCCTTCCCCCTAAAGGTATTATAGGAATTTTATTTCAGTTCCTGTCTCAAAGTCATATATCTGTCATGTGACCGGCCACCCAAGAAACCAGCAGAAAGCATCATCAGATAGTGTGGGGGAGATAGAAATATGACTTTGACTCTAACTCGAAGATGCATTCTTATTCCATATGACTCAGTGAGAGGCCTGGGAATGCTTATAATGAGAACTCCGTATTCTGTACTGAGAAAAATACTCTGTGCGATTTAAAAGCACAGATGTGTGAAAGGGTGTGGGCAGATAAAACAGACAGCCTTTCTCAGCCCTGAGTTATTTAAATCATCTCAAGTGGATCAACAATTCTAAGACAGTTTTTATCCTACTAACCTAGCCACAAAATAAATTAGGTACCTTAAAAAAAAGCTTCTTGCCCTGGCCAGGTAGCTCAGATGGTTAGAGCATCGTCCTGATACGCCAAGGTTGCGGATTCCATCCCTGGGAGGGCACGTACAAGAATCAGCCAATGAATGCATAAATAAGTGCAACAACATACTGATCTCCCTCTCTCTCTTTATTTCTTCCTCTCTCTCTAAAATCAATTTAAAATAACCAAAAAAAAGGCTTCTTGAGATCAAAAACTTACTTGACAGAATGCCTCCACAGAGCCTCCTCACAGCTATGCACACAGTAAACAATTAATAAATGCTCACTGGGTAAATATTGAGAATCTTATTGCCATTAAATATTGGGGGATTAAATATTTCAGCCAGATTTTTCTTTGTTAATGAAATTGATACTCAGCCTAAGACATTAAAGGAAAATATGATTTTACTTAGTGAATAATACTTACTAAACACATTCATTTATAAAAATATCATTTTCTTCCCATGGTTCTTTCAACATCGAAAGTACACATTTCCTATTGAGCTTGTGCAGTGGGTTCAGGCTCCGGTAACGGCCCCCCTGGCAGCGGCCAAGAAGCCGTGGGCACACGCCCTCCCAGACAAGCCATTGAAAGCTGCCTCGCCTCAAAGCTAAGGCAGCATTTCACACAGGCATCTGGGCTCTGGAAGCAATTCCTATGTTATTTTCTTTTAAAAAGCCATCGTTTTAAATGTAACAGAGCTCCGTAGAGAGAGCCGCTCCGTCCACTGCAGGCCTTTCAGGAGGGCCTGAAGAACGCCTGTGCCGACAGGTTGCATCCGAGAGCAGAGCGAGGTTCCCCAAAGCTTCCAGTGGGGGATTAGCTCCCGCAGAGTGTAAAGACCACGGTGTAGTCATATTCATTTCAGAGGAAATTAAAAAAAAACCTGGGAATAAATGTCAGACAAGTCTTCCTGCTGCTTTTGCTGCCTCGGCCCATGAAGCTGAGGTAGCAGAATGTGAAACTTGAAGGCAACGCGGGAGTTGCTGGCACGGGAGTGAACTCTGCCTCCGGGAGGCCTGCCTTTTTCTTTTGATTTTAAAGAGCAGAAAGTAATAAGGGACACCTCTGTGTAGTGCTCTTCACCCTCACTATTCCTCCAATAATGAAAAAACTCAGCCCCCGGGGTAAAGAAGGCCCTATTTAAGCCTTATTTCCATGAACATTGAGGAGATTACAGTGTAGCTGCATCCAGCAAGAACATCTGCATGCAGGGGCCTATGGGAAGCATCGTGATGGGCTACAAGCACGTAGGCCCCGTCCTCAAGGACTTAGTCTAGGAGAAGGCACATAAGCCCACAACTACGGCACAGAGCGCCATGCAGCTGCCGTGGGAGCTGGCCATAGCAGTGAGCAGAGCTTGGCATGGGGGTGGGGGTGAAGCTCAGGACCAGAGCAGCTGGGAGCAGTCAGGGTTCCAGGCCCCTGTATATAGTGGGAAGCTGGGATTGGCTCCTTCCGTAAATCCAGGAACCAGAAGTTACATTTTGTTCC